TGGCTACGTAATTACCACTGCAATCTTTGGCTTACAAATCAAGTGCCTTTTTCGTTAAATCAGGAAGACAAATTTATTCAAAAGATCAGGCTCCAACTGACTTTTCAGTTTTATCTACTCATTCATCCCTCAAACTTGTTTGAGTGCCTTTTCTGTACCAAGCCCTGTGCTTAGCATCATGGAAATAAGAATTGGCACTAGAAGTTCTCACTCATGACCCTGGGCAGGCCCAGGCTGAGGCACAGCTCCCCACCCCCTAGCTCAGACCCATCCCATCCTTTCCAACTCAGAAAAGCATATTGAAATTCAGGGGAATAAAAATACACTATTATAGAGATAACCATGGATCATACACTCCCATTTATAGGAAAGGGAAATCATTCTCAAACTGGAGTTTTTCACTTCTTCCAAGCAATCTTGGCACAGTGGTTGTTAATAACAATTGGGTTAGCTAAAGTAAGAAAGTATGTGTGTATGCATCTGTGTGTGTGTGTGTGTGCATGTGTGTGCGTGCGTGTGTGGTATGGGCAGGAAGGAGAAGTCAAAGAGGCAAAGAAAAGAGTGAGGACCAAGCCTGAAATGCCAAAGGAATAGCAACACTGAACAGAAAAGCAGAAGGCACCAGATATGGGGAGCATATCCAAGGCATGTCAAAGTGCACGATGTGGTACTTTCATCAAAGAGAAGTAGGACAGTGGTTATAGGTCTGATAGACCTAGGCTTGACTCCTGGCTCTAACACTTGCTGCATCTCTTTGGACAAGTAAAGTAACTTTTGTGAGCCTCAATTTCTCACCTCTATGTTGGGACTAACAACAGTATGTACTTCTAGGGCTGAAGTGAGGATTAATTAAGAAAGTACATGCGAAGTGTTTAGTAGCTTGGCACACTGTACTCATTAAAAGGTAACTGCTGTTATCACCATTGTTGCAGTTTTACTAGCATCACCACTGATGGTCATTCAGGGAGCTATGAGTGTGAATGTAGGATATAGGAGAAGGGCTGAAGCTGGAGCTGTAGACTTGGCAACCACCTGCACAAGATGGAGGAAAAGTATGTCCCTAGAAGTGGAGGACACACCCTGGCATCCCAGTCTGGGAAGGAGAGAGATTGAGGGAAAGCAGAGGAAGGAGGTTGAACTGCAGGTATACACCCACAGAGGACAGTATGTCAAGAAGGCATAGATGCTGCAGGAGATGGAGTCAGTTGAGGCTTAGGAAGGCATCTCTTAGATCAGGTGATCAGGTGAGCTGCTATCTGGGGCAAGAGCGTCCAGGCAGAAGGGATGGCAAGTGCAAAGGTCCTGGTGAGGTAAGCAAGGGCCTGGAGTGTTGGAGAAACTGAATGGAGGCTAGTGCTGTGGGGATGGAGTAAGCTGGGGGGACAGTGGGAGGAGCTGCAGCCAGAGATAAGGAGGGTAGGGAGGGGGGCAGTTAGGACAAGGCCCGTTGTCCATCTGGGGATGGAGAGCCATTCATTCTTACATTTCACTTAACAAGCATTTCTTATGTGCCTACTATGTGTCTGGCACTATGCTAGGTACTGAGGATACAGTGATAAGCAAAATGGACATAGTCCCTGCCCTCTGCATAGAGGGTACAGTGAGAAAGATGTACAATGATCAGATAATCACACAAGTTGGTATATAACAACAAACTGTCATAACTACATGGCCATTCAAGAGGAATCATCAGGGGTGCTGACCTGGTCTGGGGGCTTCGGAGAAGGTTTGCATATAGAAGTAACATCTAGTCTGAGATTAGCTGAATAACAAGGAACTGAGTAGGTGAAGAGGGAAGAGATGCTCTTGGCTGAAAGGATACCAGGGGCGAAGGCCCTGAGGGGAGACGACCAATTGGAGGCCAGAGGTCCAGAATGAGGAGAAAGGGAGAAGGTGCAAGGTGGGGCCTTGGGGGCTGCAGCAAGAACTGGGGTTTTTATCCTAAGAATGATGTGAAAGCATTGAGGAGTTTTAATCAAAATTACAGGTGTTTTGGAAATGTCCCTCTCACAATGTGGAAGATAGAGTGGAGGTGGGAAGGTGAGCAGGGCAGGATGGACTCGGGAAGCTACTATAAGTCTGGATGAGAGTTGACGGCAGCCTGAACTAGGGAGAAAAGGGAGAGACGTGGCTGTGCTTGGGAAGTAATTTGGAAGCAAAATCTGTAATATGTGGTAAATGGAAAGAGAGACTATGTCCAAAATAGTGTATGCAAAACTGGATACTTGCCTAAAGAAATTGTAACTGAATTTAATCAAGTCTTTAGAAGCAGACAGGATAGATGGATAGACTATATGACACTACAAGACAGAACTCAACCAAATCAGATTGTAGGACATTCCAGGGAACAAATACCATGATGTTGCCAATAAATAAATGGCACAAAATAGGGGGGAAAAAAGATTTAAGAAACAGAACAGGGCAATGTTGTATCTTTCATGCAATGTGTGGACCTTGTTTGGATCCTGATTCAAACAAACTAAACATCTGTGGGAGAAATACAGAAATCTGAATGCAGACTGGGCTGTAGATAATATTAAGGAATTACTGTTCATTCTGTTAGATAAACTAATGGCATGGAGGATTTAAATGCTGCACACACATTGTGTGCATGTGTGTGTATACACGTACACATACATATTTAAACCTTGCCAATGAGAAATGCACACTCAGTTTTTAGGGGTTAAATGACATCTTGGATTTGTTCCAAACACTCCAGAAAAGAAAAAGTGGAATATAATCTATTAAACTGGCAAAAATGATGTCAATTGTTGAAGCTGGGTCATGGGTCCTTGGAGGTTTATTATACTATCTGTCTTGGGGTATGTTTGAAATTCTTGAAAATAAAAAAGTTATCAATAAAAATAAAATGATGAAAAATAGAGTTCATACTGAAATAGAGGCCACAAGAAAAGAAGCAGGTCCAAGGGGGAAATCACGAGTTCAGCTTGGAGGCCTCTGGGCCAGAGGTGCAAAAGTAAGTGCAGACAGTAAATCTGCACAGACGGGAAATTCACAGATTCAGTGAATCTGTGGGCCTGGAGAAACTACCCGGGGAAGGAAGAAAGCTTTGTGAGATGAGAGACCAGGACTAGACATGAAGAACTGGAAGGCATGCTGACCAGGCAGAGGGCAGGAGTTCTGTGACTGGGGAGGAGCAGCCAGAAGGAGGGATCACAGAAGCCAAGGGAAGTGAGTGTTTCCAAAAGGAGGGCGCAGCTAACAGAATCGAATACCGCCAAGATGTTAAGCAGACAAGAACCATGACAAGTCCGCTGGGTTTGGAATCATGCATGGGGGCTGCTTAGGTGAGAGCTGTTTAGGCTGAGGTCAGGAGTGAGGTGAGGAGGGAATGGGAGGTGAAGGAAATGAGACAAAGAATTGGGCAGCACTTTGAAGAGTCTGTCTGTGATGTGGGAGAAAGGGCAGTGGCTCGAGGGGATAGAGTGGAGGAAATAAAGAGGTTTTTGTTGTTTTTAAAGTGAGACATTCTTAAATACATTAAAATAATGAGCAGGACTGGGCATAGTGGCTCACGCCTGTAATCCCAGTGCTTTGGGAGGCCGAGGTGGGCGGATCACTTGAGATCAGGAGTTCGAGACCAGCCTGGCCAACATGGCAAAAGCCTCTCTCTACTAAAAAGACAAAAAATTAGCTGAGCGTGGTGGCGTGTGTCTGTAATCCCAGCTACTCAGGAGGCTGAGGCACGAGAATCACTTGAACCTGGGAGGCGGAGGTTGCAGCGAGCTGAGATTGTGCCACTGCACTTCAGCCTGGGCAACAGAGCAAGACTGTCTCCTAAAAAAACAGATGAGCAGAATGATCTAGTAGAGAAGAAAAAGCTGAATATACAGGAGAAGGGACCGTCAGCAATGTACAATTCCTGAGAAAGCAGCAGGGGACGGCAAGAGGAGGGATCGCTCCTGGATTCTATTAGGGAGGAAGAGATGAACCAGGCAGGTAGCTGAGTGTTGATGACATCCTTCCTCTGTGTTTTTCTGGTTTGTTTTTTTTTTTCCCCCCTGAGAAGTAGGAGGTGATTCCACCCACTGGCAGGGAGGGGAGATTTCGGGAATTGGAGGCATAAGGGTCTTGAAGAAGGTTGGAGATAGCTATGAGAAAGGAAAGAATGAGTGACCAGAGAGAAATGGGGTTGCCCAGCAGGGTGGAGGTTGGTGATTTTGTGTCTGACAGGAGACAGTGGACGAAAGGCTGAACCAGGGCAGCAGGCTAGGCGGTGTTGGTGGAAGGCAAGGATGGTGTGGATGGTCAACAGGGGAGATGTCCCTATATCTGACACAACCAAGGAGGACTTCGTGGAGAACGAACCTAGGCCTGTGAGCAGATGGCTTTGATAGCAAGAGCCAGAAAAGGGGGCCCAGTGTCTTCTCAACTCCAAATTCCCATCTTATTGCAACCTACTGCCCTGCTCAGTGCTTCACCTCTCCAGTTCCCTCCTGCCTCCTGTTCCAATACTGTCTTTGACTCTTGGAATCTAATATGGTTTCAAGGCCCATATCAAGGTTGTTTGCCAATTTAAAAATATGCTGTTGCTTCCCAGTTCCCACCAAATGGCAAGCAGTTTGGTAAGCTGGGTGAGCAGGCATGGCAGTTATGTTGCAAACGGGGTTCCTGCCTGCCTGGAAGGATCGGACAAGACTGGGCTTTCTTAGGCCCACGGCCCACTGTCTTCACCCCTCACACAAGCTCTTCAAAAGCATAAAGGAGCATGTTTTGCTCGCATCTAACTAGTTCTGGATGCCACCAAGCCTTGCAGTGGGCATCAGTGACCAGCAGAGTACATTCTGTTCGTGCCCTTCCCAGACTCACCTGCTCTCCGCAGGGCTTGGGCTGTTGGCACTGTCTCTGAGGTTGCTCTTACAAATGGCACCTATTGGTAGCAGCCCAAACATGAGTAGGGGAAATAAAACCCTGTAGGGGACTGTGGGAGGAACTGAGCAACATGGGCAGCACTTAAAACTCATCGTTTCTCTTTCTAGCTTAACTCAGGTGATTCGAAAGTTTGCCAAGCAACTGGATGAGTGGCTAAAAGTGGCTCTCCACGACCTCCCAGAAAACTTGCGAAACATCAAGTTCGAATGTAAGTACTGAGTTGGGAGTGAAAGGGAAGAGAGAATTACATTTTAGTGCCAAATATTTTACGTAAGTTGTTAATAACAATAGTAGCAGCAGCTACTGTTTACTGGTTGACTATAAAGCACCAGGTATTATACTAATTATGTATATACACATATTTAATCCTCATAAAATGTTTATTATAGGTGGCACACTTCTTCCTTTACAGAGGAGGAGTCAAGCTTAGAGAGGTAGTGCAGAGACAGGATTTTCTCCCAGGTCTGACACCAAAGTTTCTGCTCACCACCACCATCCTCCTTATCTCATTTAATCCTCATGCTGCCTCTGCGATGTAGGAAGTAGTATCTCTATTCTACAGATAAGGCTCTGAGAGGCAAAGAAAGTTGCCCCAAAGCCACGCAGCCACACAGCTGTAAGTAGGGGCAAGGAATCAAACTCAGGTCTGAGATTTCCTTGAAGTTCCTGCCCATAAAATGGTGGTAGCAGGAGAGAGAGAACAGCTTAAGGGCTTCACTCATTCTCTGCCTAATTAGAAAGCCAAATTAATATTTCTCATAAAGGGATTGAGACCGTGAACGCTTTCTTTGCTGAGTGTTGGCACCCATTCCCCAGCATTAGTTTTGTTTTTCTGTTTCAATCTGCCTGTACTTGCGGGGAGACTCATGTACGGTTTGTTTGTTGCTATGAAAGATGAAATGATTTTCAATAAAACAAAGTTTTAAAATATACATTTTTAAAGCCCCATTTGAATACAACAGCTTGCTATTCTTGCCCGAAATAAGTGCCAGTGAGCAAAATGAAGGCGATCAAATTACCCTTTCTCCACAGGCAAAGGGAGCCCTTTCAGACGCGCTTTGAGGTTGCCTGCAGTGGCCATCACCTATTGATAAAGCCCGCTTTATTTCATGGCTTTCAGCTCTTTTCTTTTCATGAGCACTAAATTCCACATCACAAAGTTAAAGAAAAAGTAATTAAGGAGAAGGATTAACGATTGATCAGCCTGGAAAATTAGAAGTCTCCCATCTGCCCCCTCCCACCCCCACTCCTCCACCCCACACCTTATTTTTTCAAATCAAGCCAGCTCTGAGTACAAATTAGAATAATCCTAGGGAAATTTCTGACTATTACTTGACCAGTTCAGAAATTACCAAGAAGAATGCCCCCGCACCCATTTTAATTATGCCGACAAAACAAACCTGTTCAAAGTCGGCGGCAAGGAGGTTTGTTGGACCTTCCACCTGTGTGTGTCGGGCGGAGGCTGTTCTTCCCAGGGAGCCCAGCCTGGGAGTGTATTTTGAGAATGTGCAAGGGGTGGAAACAAGCCCCACTCCAACAGCTCTGTAAGAATGAAGAGCTAGGGCAAGCACATGTCTCGTCTGCATTGAAATCCGCAGATATAAGATCACCCTACTTCAAATTATCAGCCTATTATGTCAGTGTAGCAAACAAGACCTTTTCCTAGCTGCAGTCATCATCGAAACATGCAAATAGGTCATGGAGCTCATTTGATAAAAAGGACAGATTATGAATGCAAAGCCAGTTCCATCCCAGAAGCACCTCCTAGCCCCACACACCGCTGAGGCTCAATCAGGATTTACTATTAGACATACTACTTTTTAAAGGGACTTCTTCAAAGCTTCCACTTGATTCCTGCAATTATTTATGGGGAGAAGTGATTGAGCTTGCAATTAGCGAAATGAAGACAATAATTGCCTTTACTCACGGTTGACTGACGCCACCATTTCTCACACCTGCGAGTGTATCGTGTGCATGACTTTGAAATATGTACCCCGAATGTCACCATTAGGAAATAGTTGTTGAAGCTCACATGGGAGAACAAAGAACCAAGTGCAGGGTTTTGCCAGTGGGTACATAAAATGGGATTGGGCGGTGAGACAAATGTAGGCAAAATAAGCAGCCTACGTTTTGAAATCTGCCCCTGGAAAATCCAAGTTAGAATCATAAAGATTGCAAATATTTCAAACTAATTCTTTTCCCTTTGCAGTGTCGAGAAGGTTCTCCCAAATTCTGAGACGGCAAACATCACTAAATCATCTCTGCCAGGTAGCTGTCCTGCGCTATGTGTTTTAACCACTGCTGAGTCATTGCAAATGAGGGGGCAAATTCGCAAAAACAACCTCCTGCAGGATCTTTCAGGTTACCAGGGCACTCTCTCTATTCATTTCTGCAGATAAGGAATGAAAACATTAGCCAATAACTAAATAGTTTCAACTAATACACAAAATAATTTCCGATATCAGTTGCCCCTTAACCTTTCAGATATGTTCTAGGTCCACAGTTCTGTGTTTCTCTTAATTATCCAGCCCAAAACGTATGTAGTGGTTGAATCAAATGATTCAAACAGATTAAGAGGATGATTTGTTTGTTGTATCATCGGAGTTCAAAGTCACATAATATATTCAATATTTGCCCAATTTTGTTTAGTTTTTTCCAGATCTACATTATTTTTAGCACGAAAGTGACATATGCTTGCTATCAAAAACATTTAAAAATATAAGTGTATTAAGTAGAAGTGGAAGATCCCACTGCATGCCCCTACCTACTCTGTAGTTACAGCTTGATGGCACATAAGTACATTTCTATTAATTTTGCACTTTAATGAAGGGACTCTAAGTCTGTTAAGGCAACCGATTAACATTACATTAAAATATTAATGACGTTACAGCAGAGGTGGCAAACCAGTGGCCACAGGCCAAATCTGGCCCTCAGATGTGTGGGGTTATTGTTGTTTGGCTTGAATATGTTCAAAACAATTTTTTCACATGGTCACTAACAGTTGGAACTGGGAGATGACAGCTAAACCTTCAAGAGCTGACAACTTGCTCCCAGAGCCCCGTTTCCCCAGGCAGCTGTCAGCTGTTGGGCCAAACTTCTCCGCAGTGGCCACCATCCTCATTCCACCAACTCTGTCACACTTGGCCCACCTCACTCCTGAATGTCACCTGCCTGCCCCCTTCCTGTGTTTCCGTTTGCAGCCTCTCCTTTAAGGTGCTGTTGGTTCTGGGTGGGTTCAAGGTCAAGAAGGGAGGGAGGGGTTTCTAGTTAGAGTGGTCTGAAGGAGGGCCCCAGGCCAGGAACCAGAAAGTATAACACAACAGCCACACATACCTCCCTGCTCCTGTCCTGCCCCTGGCATGGACAGCACAGGGGTTGATTTGGAGACCAGAGGGAAATTCTTCCAGATTCATGCAGGCTGCTACAGAGGCTACACCTGGGCATTGTTCTGGTGACGGTGCAGAGCCTGACAGATTAATGGGATTCAGGGAAGAAAATTAATATTGGCCTAGCAAAGAAACATTGCCTTATTTCTGCGGATGCTATGCCAGCCTGGCCCTCTGGTTCTTTTTTTCCAGCTTAGAAGAGTGGCTCTTGGGTCGTATCAGGGAACTAGACGTGGTTTTGGTGCCTCCCTCTGGGGATCAGACAATTTAAAGAGGACTTTGTCCCTTTAACGCACGTGTAGATAAAAGCGTCCACACCCATGCCCATAGCCACGTGTTGCACAAGCGTGGGGGTGCCCACATGTTCCCTCTCCACCTTCTGCACAAACACAGCATGTAATTTAATCAGCAAATGCCCCCTTTCCATCTCTACTGGACAACTTTCAGACACATTCCCAGATCAGACAGAGGACTAGGGTTAAGTCTGGGAATGAAACACCAGCTAACATCCCAGTGAGCTTTCCTAAACACACACACACAGCAAGTCAGACTAAACAACGTCCAACTGAAGATTCACCTCAAATATTTAGACCCAAGATTCGCACGTCCAGGCTCTTTCAGATACACCAGGCAAGTAAACACTTGGCATTCCTATCTTAACCATTCACTTTACAAAATCTTTTGGGTGCCTACTGTGTGCCCAATACTGTGCTTAGTAGTACTTGCCCTCAGCAGAAAAACAAAAGTGTTAAATGTGATGAAAGAAACAGAATGGAAATAGGTGGTCAGAGATGGCCTTTCCATGGGTGTGACATTTAGGCTGGAGCATACATCGTAGTGGGGCTGCTGGGGCAAGGAGGGAGAAGAATGTTCCAGCCAGCAAGAACACCATGTGCAAAGGCCTTGAGGTATCAACACAGTCACTGAAAGAGAAGCGATCTGAACAACAGTAGCCACTTTTATTGAGCTCCCTGCACTATGCACTCTGTTTTTCAAACACTATCTCAAGAAATCCTCAATAGCAGCCCTTCTTTAAGAGGTAAGCACTAAGGCCCTAAACACGATGGTAAGAGACACCATTAAAAAGCATGTTCTAGGTGGGGCGCGGTGGCTCAGGCCAGCAATCCCAGCACTTTGGGAGGCCTAGGTGGGCAGATCACTTGAGGTCAGGAGTTCAAGACCAGCCTGGCCAATGTATCGAAACCCTGTTTCTACTAAAAATATAAAAAAATTAGCTGGGTGTGACAGCATGCACCTATAATCCCAGCTACTAGGGAGGCTGAGGCAGGAGAATCACTTGAACCTGGGAGGCAGAGGTTGCAGTGAGCCAAGATCGCGCTACTGTACTCCAGGCTGGGTGACAAGAGTGAAACTCCATCTCAAAAAATAAAAATAAAAAAAATAGCATGTTCTAAACACTTGCTTACAGAATTCACTCTTTGGTAAACAGTTCATTTCATTGTAATAAAGTGGCTCACAATGCATCTCTGAAGGAACATGCTCAGGAAAGAAAAAAACAAAAAAGGTAGGTACTATTGTATCTCCATTTTATAGATTAGGAGGCTGAGGTTAATCTACTTGCCCGCCCGAAATCAATCAGCTGGTCAGCAACGAGGCCAGGATTTGAACTAGGTTATGTTTGAATGCAGGACACCTTACCTTTCTATTCAGTTGTTTTCATTATCCTTAGAGACTCACCTAACTCATATATTCTACACCGATCATTAGAGATTCACCTCACTCATATATTCTACGCCTTCGTGACCTTTAAAGAGTTCTCCAATTATTTAACTCAGATTTTACTTGTGCTTGGATGGTCGGGGTACAACAAGGGGTTGTCAGTATTTACCTTTGCCTAGGAATTTACAAGCATTAGGAGACTTGACAATGTCTTTGTGTATTTTAAATCTTTTTTTAAATTTTATTAAAAGACATTGTGAAAACATGCAAGTAAAGGAAATGATCCTGGATATATATTTTTCTTTTCTCAATATTGTTTCAACTTGATGATATTGTTCCAGGTATTGTTCCAACTTGTAAATTTAAATTCACTAATGAGGGTTCCATGAAAAAGCCACAGCTTTAAAGGAAAAAAAAACCACATACATACACACACACATATATATATATAAATATAAAAAATTATTCACACACTATACACATGCCTCCATCCACTAACAAACTACTGAGATGTATGGTGGTATAGTTTCCCTTTTCCTCCAACCTAATTATTCATATATGTTTTAATCATTATAGTTACATTTAAAAAAGCAAAAATGGAAAACAAGAGCATAAACTGTTTCAGAATGTATTTATATGAAAAATATACACTTTGAAATATCTGGGATTAAGTTAGGACCTGGGTTAGCAAGAACACTTCTAAATCCCGGCCTGTAGCTTCTCAGGGACTAGAGATACAAGGATTATTCGGCACAGAGCTCCCATCCCACAGGCTTACCTCAGAAAGCTGACAGATCTCTGGGCTTCATCCCATTGTTCCATGGGGTCAAGACCAAAGGGACTGGAATCAGCAGGGTTTGGTCTGGCCCAGCCCACCCTGGTAGTTGCTTGTAGAGAAAAAGACATGTGTGGAAAGAGCCACAGGAGAAAACAGTGTCTGCATCTTCTGAGTTATGGAGTCTTCTGGTGCTTTCCTGAAATTGAATTTCTCGGAATTTCAAGGTAGTTTGCAAAATACCATAAGCAGATGCATTAACAAGGCATAAAAGGAAATACAGTGAAGGGGTTTTAACAACCCATGAGCTAATGAGTTGACTGGATTGGATTACAGGCATCTCGAACAGTGATCCACAGCGCAGACATCACGTTCCAAATGCTGGAAGACTGGAGGAATGTGGACCTAAACAGCATCACCAAGCAAACCCTTTACACCATGGAAGACTCTCGCGATGAACATCGGAAACTCATCATCCAATGTAAGCTGTCCCACCAGGGATTGTTGTCCTGTTTCTGTTTTTAAAAGAAAGAAAGAAAAAGTATCTTAGTAAATACTGAAGTGGCATCCCCACCCTGTCCTTCTTCCCAGCATCTCTTCTTCCTCATTGTTCCTTTTAAATGAGTCGGCCCAGAAGGAAGGGCTAATTGACTTAAGAGGACATGTGTCAGCACTGCTGGGTAAAGAGGGTTCTGGTGCAATTGGGCAGCACACAATGTCATGCAAAGGGCCCCATGTGTGACCTGAATGCCAGCCCTGGTTCCATGGAGGTGGCATTAAATATGAGAACAAAAGCTTATTGCCTATCTCAGTGTATGTCAGTCTGGGGTCAGCTAGATATGCTGCCTATTTTTCATTTGAGGGTCACATGAGTCAGTCCACTTATTGGCAGGTGAACCTTTCAATCACGTTAAATGTTTGAGAAGCAGGTGGATGGCGTTTTCAGTTTTACTTCTGTGAATATATGTTCATGTCCCGGCGAACAAAGATTTCCACCATGCAGACTGCAGGTATACTGCTCCAAATATTAACCCCATGTCGGCAGGATGTTTGTTCTTAGTACTAAAGCAATATGAGAGGGCCAGAGAACATCATCATTGTTAGCACATCCCTGCTGTTCCTCAGACACCCATCCCAGCTGACTGCCCAGGGCATCCCCTGAGCCCAATGACCCTGGATCCATCAGTGTCTACAGGCTACCTCCATAATTAGAGAACATGAGGTCAGGAAATGTGAGGGGACACTCCTCCCATCAGGTCTCAGAAAGGCGTTAAGAGCATGCACTCCCATGTTCTCAATGGGGTGGTGAGGCCCAGGATCCCAAAAGTGACATTGCCTGGGGAGCTCCAGAGAGGCTGCCCCACCAAGAGGGGTCTTTCTGAAAGCCCCAAGCTCCTTCAGATTTCTTAGTATATGCCTTCTGCACTGCTGTCTTGAGGGAACCCTTCATTCAGCTACCCAGTTTAAACTTGAGGTGCCTTTAAACAAATAAAGTTCCCTAAGAGGGTCCTATAAGAGATCTCTTTCCCAATAAGCCCTTTTCAAAAGCAAATGGAATAGTTGAAATGTCTGAACATGTGGACCTTCCCCAGGACTTCTTTCCTGACTTAGCCCAAAGCTTACTCAGGCTGTTACTTCTTCCTTCACAGCTGCCCCTAGCCCACTTTTCCCCTGTTAAGAATTTTAGAGATCATCACTAAAATAATAATTCAGCTTATTGACTGCCTGCTCTAAGCCAGCTCCTGTGTCAGATCCAACACATGCGTGGTCCCATTGAATCTCCACATCAAGCCCAGGAGGAAGACACTCTTATCACCCCCACTTTACAGATCAGAAAACTCAGGCTTAGAGAGTTGGTGAACCTAACTCAAGGTCACGCAGCCACTAAGCAATAGAGCTGAACCCAAGTCTGGTCTCACATCTAGTCTCAGCTTCACCACCAGGCCTTAATGCTGCTCATGTATTCATGTGCAGGGGAGACAAAAAAAAAAAAAAAAAAAAAAAAGGGAAATGTGGGTGAGTTTCAGAGGTTCCAGGATCTTTCCAAGTGTTTACAATCATGCTTCCTGTTCTGCTTTTTCCTGTCCCCTGGATGGAACGTCAACAGAAAGCATGGCCCTGCATACCCTAATAGCACTGGGGGTACCTCTGATCATTGTGTCCCTAGGAACTCCCAATGGGCCAGGCACAGAGCAGGTGTCCAGCAAGGTTCATGGAATACCAAAGAGATGAGTAGAAACCCAGAGTGAACGTAGTTCTTAGCTCTGCGAATCTTCCTAGTAGTGTTAGACTCAGTTCTCTTCCCGCCTCAGCACCTTTCATGAGGGAGGAAAATGTGAACCAGACTCATGGGGAAAAATACAATCAGCATTGCTTGCTTAAGGGACCAGGCTCTGAGCCTTTGCTGGAGCACCGTGGAGGTCACTGCTGCCTCTCTCAAGAAAGAACCTCTGTGGCTTTCTCTTCAAGTTTCCTTAGGTCCAGGGCAGAATGGTGCCCTTTAAAGCTGTGACTGCATTCTTCTTCTGGGGACATAAATGCTGTGGTTCAGTTCAACCCAGCTAGTCCTTACTGAATGCCTGTCCTAAGTCAGGTACTGTATTAGATGCTGGCCAGAGGGCAGCGAATAAGATGGACACAACCCTTACCAACATGGAGTTTACAGTTAATGGTAAATCAGACCTCAAACATGTATTTACAGATGTGTTGCATCTTACCAAAGAGAACAGTGCCATGTAATGCAGTGCTGTGAAGGGGGAATTGAGGTAGGGTACCAAGCCTCAAGGCAGTCCAGCACATGTGTGTCAACCCTGTACCTCCCAAGCAGACAGCTGGGAAGTCCCTGAACACACACGGAGTTGGACCAAAGGTCATCTTGAGCAGGGCTGGGACAACTGTGTGCAGCGCTCTTCTTTCCTCACAGCGAGCTGACAAATCTGCAAACTCTTGCTTGGGGGGAGTTACCATCACCTCTGTGATACAGATCTCGGCCAGCAATGCTCAGCTTACCTTAGATTTTAAAAGTGCACATTAGTACTTAAGCAAGCTGATTAGAATGAGTTATCATTGTAACTGCCCAAGGTCTGTTGGGCATCCCAGCCCCATGTCCAAGTTCCATTGACTGGGATCCCCGTGGCTGGGATGCCCAACAGACCGTGGTTCAAACCTTGCTCTTACACAGCTCTTACACAGCATGGGGCTGGGATGCCCAAAAGACCTTGATTCAAATCTTGGCTCCAGTGCATTGTGACCTTGGTTTTCATTTCTGTAAAATGGGGCTAATGTGAAAGGATTAAATGAGACTATCTGTACCACCTGCTTGGTACACAGTCTAGTATTAGCATAGTGAAGTGGTTAGGAGGCAAGCACTTGAGTCAGGCTGTGATTGAATCTTGTCTCTGCAATTCACTAGCTGTGAAAGAACAACCTTTGGAAAATTACTCATCTTTCTTTGTCTCTGTTTCTTCACTTGTAAAATGGAGGATAATAATGGTACCTACCTCCTTGGGTTGTTCATCCGTTCAGTCAACAAACATTTGAGCATTCTAGTGCTATGACCCTCTGGTCTCAGAATCTTACTTCTTGTAGCAAGCATCTACTAAGTAAAATAGAGCAAAGTGGCCAGTCCTTTAAAATGAGAGAACAAAAACTGCTCAAGTGAAAATGAAAGAAATGTATGGATCTTGAATTGTGGTTTGATTTATTGATCTCTGCATACAGAAACACAAAAATGTGATGAAAAGAGATGCTTCAAACTAGAGATCACCAGAGCCATGTTTCTATTTTCTAGAGCACTTCATTGATTAAAAAGCACTTCCAGATTCAGTTATCTGAATTAAGATGAAGACAGGTTGTAAAGTGGTAGGATTATCTCTCCAATGAGGTAAATGAGCAGCAAAGAGACTGTTGCACTTACTCAACAAGTATCTATTAAGCACCTACTACATGCCACACAGAGAGGCTGCTTAAGCTACCTGCCTGATATAGTTGTGGTCCAGAAACATTTGAATTATCGAATGTGCCCTACCCTGGGCAGAGAGCAAGAGAGCAGCAATGCCTCACCCATTAATTCAAGCAAGAATTTGTTGGGTAACAACTATGTCACAGATAATGCACCAGCTAATAAAGATACCAGACGAAGAACTAGCAGGGAGACACACATGCCCATCCAATTATGCCAGTGCCATTAGTCATATAATAAAGGTAGAAAACCGATACTAAAGTGCTATGTGAGTGCAAAGGAGGGGTTATCAGTTCTGCTGGCAAGGGGCATGGAAGGTTAAAGGGATTTCATACCAGGGCCGTTTCAGCTGGGCCATGAGGAACCAAGTAGTGGGAATGGCCTGAAAAAACAGACTAAGGCTATGAAAAAAGCAGGGCTTGCTGGGGGAATGGCAAGTAATATGGGATAGCCACAGTTTAATGTGCTCACAGGCATGGAAGATGATCTTGGAAAGGTAAGTTGGGGCATGTTTTATAAAGTCTTGAATGCTCTGCTAAGACCTTAGAGTTTTATTTATTTAAAGTTTTACTTTATTCAAAGTTTTGTTCCCCTGTTCTTTTAAGACATAGCCCTTGTTAAATACAACTGCAGTGACGCGTGTGGGGTTCTCCTTTGTTTGACAGTGTATCAGGAGTTTGACCACCTCTTGGAGGAACAGTCTCCCATCGAGTCCTACATTGAGTGGCTGGATACCATGGTTGACCGCTGTGTTGTGAAGGTTGGTAAACCAGCGCTGAGGGGGCAGCCTTGGGTCCTGCAGCCCACCACCGCCTACTGTGAACTTGGCTAACACAAAGCCCCATGGTGAGCTGTCTGAACAGGGTTTTGAGGAGAGGCCCCAGGAGGTGAAGGGGGCACAAGGCAGGACTCTTGAGTCTTCCATCCCTGATTCAACCAGGTCAGCATCTCTTTTATCTGCGGTATACACTGAGTCTTGGCATAAGATTTCATTTTTTTACAGTATTTTTGCTGCTACAAACAAAACAAAAACCATTGCTCCATAGCAATGACTTTGAAGACCATAAGCCTTCCTGTCATTTTTCTGTATGTATGTATGTATGTATGTATGTATGTATGTATGTATGTATTTATTTTTGAGACAGGGTCTCACTTTGTTGCCCAGGCTGGAGTGCAGTTAGCTCACTGCAGCCTTGACCTCCCCAGGCTCATGTGATCCTCCCACCTCAGCCTCCTGAGTAGCTGGGACTACAGGGGTGTGCCACCATTCCCAGCTAAGTTTTGTATTTTTTGTAGAGATGGAGTTTTGCCATGTTGCCCAGGCTGGTCTCAAACTCCTAGGCTCAAGAGATCATCCGCCCATCTCAGCCTCCCAAAGTGCTGGGATTACAGGCGTGAGCCACTGCAACTGGCCTTATTTTTCAAAGAGACAGTAATAAATGAAAGGTCAAGTTGACCACTATTAAAGCCATTCACTTTCTTGTAGGTGGCTGCCAAGAGACAAGGGTCCTTGAAGAAGGTGGCCCAGCAGTTCCTCTTGATGTGGTCCTGTTTTGGCACGAGGGTGATCCGGGATATGACCCTGCACAGCGCCCCCAGCTTCGGTAAAGCCACCCCAGCCCTCCCCATCTCCAAACACCTTTTTCTCTGGGCTCCGTGCATTGAGGCTACCACAGCCTAACTTGCTGTTTCTGCAACGTCATCACCCTGAAACACATCTGTTCTGGGGAGACATGACATTGTTAGGACTTTCAGGGAGAGAGATGGCGTTACGTGCTAAAGGTGGAGTATCAATCTGAAAATGAGTGGTTTTGCCCACAGATAGTATTATCTGAGCTTAAAGAGGAATAAATTGCAGTGGCTGTGCTCTCCATGCCTAGATGTCCTCAGTGATTGCTGCTTCCACAGCACGATTTCATAGAATCCCGTATTTGTGCACTTCCCAAGACTGAGCATGTGAAGAAACCTCTGAGTTTGAACACTTGCAAATGTCTTGATTGACCATACTCTAGCTGTGGGCAGATGACCTTAAGTTTTATTTAAAATTGTACTCTAGTCTAATCCCTAAAAGAGGTCATTTGCATTCACTTTCCCTTTTGTTTCACTGACCCTTTAAGTCTTCATCACCTCCAGGAGATAGGAGACATCCCCACCTCAAGTCTTCATCTGCTGCTTTCTAGTAAAACACGGCTTGAACTCTCTGCCCAAAGGTACTGATAATAGTCTCTGCGGGCAGCAAGCTGATTACTGAATCGGGGTGAATGTTACGCTACATTGTAGGACAGTTTTCTACTTTTCACCAGAAAGAAAGGAATATGTACCGAGTCCAGATCATCACTGGCAAAGTGAGATGGGACTTTTGGGCATTATCCAGACATTTGAAATCCCAAAACATTTTGGTTTCAATTTTCTAGGCATTTCAGCAAAGGAGCATTGGTAAATTTTCTGGGTAATTGCTTCAGTTCTCTATTTCGCTTTGCAAGTAAGGGTTGTGGTTTTGTTTCTCATTATCTCCAATTAAGCCAATCAGCTCTGGGTTTTGCTGTGGGTTTAATTTGACACTTTTCCATCTAGCTTTTTATGGTCTTGTCACCATTTTCCAGTTGTGCTATACAACGAAGTAAATATGTGGGAAAACAAAGAAGGCAGTATTTTTTCTAAACAGCCCTGTCCATGAAAGACTGTGTTTACCCACTGGGAGAAGCGTTTTGTTGTGGATTTCTTTAATCTCAGCATTGGAGATTTCTCTGAACCTGCCTGCACCATGGCTACAGATGGAAATTCTCTTTGAGCTGTATATGGAAATGCTCCGCTGACTGCTACCTGGGCAGTGGCATCAGGCACGGCATTTTGATGACTTCCAGTTCAGCACAGTTAGTGTTAGCACATGTTACCTCTAGCTCTGGAGAAATCATTCATGCAGAACTGTTTTCCCTTAAGTGAACTGTTGGAAAATATTTGAGATTTTTTTCATTGCTTCCAAGTCAGAGAATCAACAATATGACACACAAATACACACATATCCACATCCACACAGTGAGCATCCTCTCCATGCTTTATCCTTTATTCTTCAATTTGCTGATTTTTAAACTGACCACGTGTGCTAGCAGGTGCCTTTCATTAGACAGGGAAAGTAATTCCCTTGCAATATTCTTGGAAATGCATCTGTGCTTACTAACAGTCAATGTAAAAAAGAAAGTTTGAACAGGAGAATGATTAGGCTTTATGAATGGGTTGAATTTATTACTAAGAAATATGGTTCTTTGAAATGTGTTTCTTTTTGAACCACACACTATTTTGGGATAGATATACTGGAAACTCAGGCAAATGGCAAAAAAAGATGATCACAAATCACTTAGAAAAGGAAAAAAAGAGATATTAACCCAGTCTCAGTTTTACAGTATTTTTCAACCCTGAGTGGGTTGAAATAATACCTGTCTCCAAGTCCATTTAGCAAACTATCTGAAATGGCGGCCCAGCTCATCTGACTCATTGTTGAGTTTTGCAGCTTGGGGTGACAGGCAAGTTAAAAGAGTTTGCGGCAGACAAAAGCCCAGCTCCCCCTTTCTGCCTGTATATGTCAAAGACCCAGTTGGTGGTTGTGTTTGGGTCATGTGTTCCCTGTATGAAAACAGCTAATTAGGAAAAAGAGCCCTCTGTTCCCTGGTCCCCTCCCCCAGCCACAGGGGCCAGCTCTATATATCTTATAACTCCCACATGGTCCTTGTTGCTGTGAATGGCTACGGGGTTTGTGTGTCAGCGTAACAGGCTGACCATTACAATGATCGTGTGGAATATCACAATGATCCCGTAGGGGACTCTATCACCTCTTCCCAGAACAGCCTCTTTCAAAGGTAGTTGACTCCTTTCTTCTCCTTAATTCCTTTTCACTCTCTTCTCCTTAATTCTTTTTCACTGAAAGAACCTATGCTGTGAACTAAAGTAGCCAGACTTTCTTTCTTTGCTGCAAGCAGTGTTTTTAGCAAAATTAGTGAGCAAAGGTAGGCTATCAGGCAAACTTTTAGTCCTAATGGAACTGAGCAAATCAAAGTTTTGTTTTTAAAAAAACACCATCTTTTTAGTCGACTGATCTGATTTCAGTTCCTAGAGTACCTAGATCTCAAGTCGGTGCTAGCGCCTTTACCCTTTCATTCTGGGTTTTCACCAAATGCCTGCTTAGTTCACTGTTACGAACATCTGGAAGGTAATAATAGTTCCCGGAAGCACTCCAGCATAAGTCAGTTTAAAAAGCAGCCTGGGTGTGGGCACAGCTGATGGCACACTTGCACAACACTTTCACGGTTTCACTTTTTTACACACCTGTTGTCTGACCTAGCATCAAAGCTCACTCACTTGGGCAGGGCCGGGGAGACCATGTGGGCATGTGTCAGGGAGTGGCTCCCAGAACAAGTAGCCACGACCAAGCCTTCCCAACTGCTTCTCTATGCTTAGATGGCCTGGCCTGGCTCCCTTTTAGGCAGAATCTGCTCAATTGCAGGACCTGAATGTTCGCAATGTCATTCAGGTCCCCACCAAGCACTAGGATACAGGAATTGCTTTCCCTGTAGTCAGGAGTGGAAGTAAAAACCCAGAGAAGAGAGGACTTGCGTGTGGACTCAGAGAAGTGGCAGATTGAATTCAACCCACAATCATTCCCATGCTAAAGCTGGAGTTTTTCCTGACATGCTACACTGCCACCACCTCATTTACCTTTCTTTGGGTAAAAGAAAATTAATAATAACAACACAGCAACATTTATTGAGGGCCGGATATACTTTAGACATTACATTTTCTCAATTACTTCTCACACAACCCTGTGAGGTCTGAATTACTGCCCTCAATATGACAGACGAGGAAGCTGAGGTAGAACTTGAAGGATTTGCTTAAGATTGGAGATAAGAATGAAGCAAAGACAAGATAATGACGACTATTATAAGAAATATTTTGGAAGCACATACTGTCATTGAATTATTGCATTAACTCTGCAATGTAGGTAATAATGGATACTTTTCTAAAGACGTGAGAAGGGAGCTTGGAGAATTTCCTTGCACAAGATCAATGCAGCAAATGTCAGAATTCTGTTTGAAAATCAAATCTCCCTGACTACAAAGCCCATTCCTTTTTGATTATCACAATTAAGGCAAATACTCTGGGCTCAGATGCATGCCACAATAGAGTTAGAAACATTTGTTTAATCCACATTGATGACATTATTAATATTTTTAAAAAATCTATGGATTAAGATTAAAAATTTTAAAGCTATGAGAGACAAGAATAATTATTAGACTGTCATGAGTAGTAAGAGATGCCAGAAGACAATGGAGTAATATCTTTTAAGTGTTGAGAACAAAGAACTGTCAACTATTATTGAAGAGTGAGGGCAAAATAAAGACATACTCAGTTATACAAAGACAGAATTTGGCACCCACAGATCTTCACTTAAAAAAACAACAAAAAAAACTATTAAAGGATGCATTTTGGCTGGGCACGGTGGCTCACACCTGTAATCCTGGCACTTTGGGAGGTGGATTACCTGAGGTCAGGAGTTTGAGACCAGCCTGGCCAACATGGCAAAACCCTGTCTCTACTAAAAATGCAAAAATTAGCTGGGTGTGGTGGCAGGTGCCTATAAACCCAGCTACTTGGGAGGCTGAGGCAGGAGAATCACTTGAACTCAGGCGGGCAGAGGTTGCAGTGAGCCAAGGTTACGCCATTGAACTCCAGCCTGAGTGAGAAGAAAAATAAAGCCATAGCTGAGGTCTAGAATACAAGAAACAACAAAGTTCTAGTTATTGTTGCCGTTGCTGTGTAATAAATTACCCAGGCTTAATGGCTTTAAGACAACCATTTTATTATGCTTATGAATTTTGCAAGTCAGGATCATGTGCCAGCTTGGTGTGAAGTCACTTTGCTTTTATGATCCAGTCTTAGATACAGTGTAACTTCCCTCATACTCCATTGGTCAAAGGCAGTCCCAAGCCTATCATGGCTCAAGGAGGTGCACAGACCCCAGTTCTTAACAGAGGGCACATCAAAGAATTTAGGGACCCTGTTTTAAGATGAGAGAAATGTAAAAATATGTAAACATATTTAATTAACTATTGAATGTAATTTAAAAACTAAAAACTATATATGTGTTTTAAAAAGTTAAAAATAAGTTCTAGGTAAAAATATAACACGGAGTAATGAGAAGAGAATCTTCAAGGAACAGTTGAAGCATGCTAAGGTCTTTGTCTTCTTTAGGAATACTAAGTAACTTTAGGCTTTGTTGGAGAAATTTATAGTTTGGATTTAATAAATGCTTAGCATATATGTTAACAAATTAAGGTATCATTACTAAAAGAATACAATCATGATTATAGAAGAAAATGGAAGAATATGAAAACTTAAGAGATAAAACATTAAATGGAAAAAAGAATTGAGAAGATAAAAGCAGCATAGAAAATGGATGGTAAATGAAAGCACAAAATAGGATGGTAGAAATAAAGACCAAATGATAATCACAATAAAGGAGTAAGTTTCTTCCTTCAAAAAACATCAGGCATAAATGTTTTTATAGTTTAACTAAACTTATAAGAAAGTTATAAAAAATATAAAATCTTTA